TTCATGATCTATCAAGTAAGTAACAACCAGGTATGATCATATCGGAGGTAGGTTCCGTTTGGTATACGAAATATACTGTTTAGAAATCCCACTTTAAACACCTCACTAAATCACAGCCTAGACATCATCCCCGTAAGTAGATCAATCAGTATAACGACTTGGAATCACTGATAAATCTTGTTTATAGGTTCATAATAACGATAATGAACTTAAACATAAGTTTTACTTAAAGTAGGTTAAGAATAACTCACTTACCGGGGGGTTTGGCTAGGAGCCTGGCTCTGCAGGGGCAGAACTTCTGAGCCGAAAGCTCTTCTTCTCGGAGCCTTCGGCGCTCCGGGACTCGCCTCTAGCACTAAGAAGTTGCTAGGAAAGGGGAAGAGGGTTTGGGGGTAATGAGAGAGAAAGAGTATGAAATGTGTGAGTTTTGGGGGTGTTCTACGCCTCTATTTATAGGCTGTCTGGGGCTCCTCACGTCGTGAGACTTAGCTCTCACGTCGTGAGCTTTGCGTAGGCACCAAGGCGAAGTCTGGTGCTGACACGTGGCACCGGACGCAGGTAATAGCCAATCTTTAAAAATTCATAACTTTCGCAGACGAACTCCATTTTTGACGTTCTTTATATCCACGCGTAGGTAAAGACAATATCTACAACTTTCCTTTTGACTCTATCGGCTAATTCTCGACTGATTTTAAATTTAACAGTATGAGAAGATTACACTGTTAAATGACTGCGTAAAATTCATAACTTCTACATACGGACTCCGTTTTCGTCTGTCTTTTTATCGTTGAGCTCCTATTAATGAGATCTTCAATTCTCATTTAGGTTGCGTTTGCTAAAAATGGATCGATCTAAAATTCGAATTCCGGGCTGTGCACTGCTATGTCAAATCTTAGAAAAATCATAATTTCCTCATACGAAGTCAGATTTGGGCGTTCTTTTTATGCATGCTCTCGGTTTAACGTATACTACAACTTTCATTTAGATCTCTAAGGCTAAAAATTAGTTTCTCAAAAATTCACTTTTTACGTTACGCGGTGTAGTGCCGATTTTGCCGTAAAACTTCGACGGGCCATAACTTCTTCGTTATAACTCGGATTTCGGTGTTCTTTATATGTACGGAACCCTTGTAACATATAATATAACTTGATTAAGATTATCCATTCTAAATAATCTTCCATAAAAAATTCATATTTTCACCCTTATTGTCTCTAAATGGACTAGCCCGAATCTGCGGGCGTTACAGGTTCCTTGCTTCATCACTGTAGCTTAGCCCCAACCTCGCCTATGGCTTCCATGCATCTACCTGAAAACAATCTCATCGAAGAAGTAAACAAAACCATAGGATATGAAATCAGATAAGGATACAAGAAATCAAGTATTCACACATGGAAGCCGACGAAGGGTTTCCGGATGTCTTTGAAGAAGACAAGAAGTCGAGGAATTATTTGTAAAAAGAAGGCATTTGGTGTCTTGCAGATACATGCAAGACACATGGGTTGAAGATAACAACACAACGAATCAACTTATCAGGAAGTCACGACTCGAAACCTCATGGTAATGGAACCTAGTCCAAACTACCTACTGTTCATAAGCCAAGACATGATTTAATATGATATATAATAAAGGATTTCAGCATCAAAAATATTTTAGCCTACACTCAATATTGTTTTACAAAATTTCACAAATTTTGTTTTATTTTATCCCGTTTTTACCTATTTTATAATTTTTATAATGAATCTGGTTACTTTTTCGTTTTTACAGTTATATTAAAAAAAATGTATTTATTTTATGATGATTTTGGTTAACTCGCTTTTTTACTTTACTCTTTTTCTTTACAGTTTTGGTTTAACTTTTTAATATTTATTATGAATTTGGTCTCTTATTTTGTAACTCCTTATATTTTCATTTTACAGCTTTGACCCAAATTTTTAATATTTATTACGATTTTGGTTTATCACTTTTTCTTCTTTGGGTGCGTTTGGTATAGAGAAATAGAATTGCAGCAGAGAATGGAAATGTAGAGAAAGAGAATTAAGCTAGAGAATGAGAATTGATTACACTGTTTGGTAGACCTGAGAATCCACTAGAGATTTTTTTTTGAGAATTTGTATTTTAATATATCACATTACAATTTTGTATTTGTATTATTTTATTTTCCTAATGACTTATTATTAATTATTGTTTACATTTGTCAATTAACGCTTTATATATTATTTAATATAAACACAAAATATTGACCTTAGAAACAAAACTTCTAGCAATTATCTAAGCAATTTGAATTATTAATTATTATTTACAATTGCCAGTTAACACTCTATATATTATTTAATACCAATTCATATGCAGTATTATCTCTTCAATGCATTAGCAAAATAAGTGGCACGTCCTAGTAAGGTTTGAAGTCAGGTTCGAAGTCATGACTTGAAGCTGGGAATCAATTCTCTGCTTTTTTTTAGTTTTCTCTAATAGGCTATTCTCCCAATTTCTTTATAAAAAAAGGAGAATTGATAGAATGGAAATGAAATTCAATTTTTTCTCTTTTCTCTATATTTTAGTGCAAAACAAACAAGAGAAATGGAATCAATTCCATTTCTCTTCTCTTATTTCCCTATACCAAACACCTCCTTATAGTCTTCGACTACTTTTTCGCTTTTGTTAAGATTTTGATTCAGTTTTTTACGACTATTTGTTAAATTTCTTTTACAACGTTTATATATATATATATATATATATATATATATATATATATATATATATATATATATATATATATATATAAACCCAATTCTTAAAAAAAAACTAGTTTTATTAAGAAAAATTATATAAAACAACAGTGTAAAAAAACTAACTTTATATATATATATATATATATATATATATATATATATAGATATATATATATATATATATATATATTCAAATGAGAACCATAAAAAACTAAAAACCTTAAGAACCCCATTAATTAATAAATATGTACACAATACTCTTATTAAACATGTTAAAATCTTGATTTTTTTTGTTTTTTTGGTACGAAAATGGCAAAATTAGTTTTTTTACAATATAATATTTTAACTTATACATCAATTCATATTTTAACACAAAAATTATATAAAATATAAAACTTGATACAGTCCATTAAGTAGATTAAATTCACAACTTAAAATTCAAATCTATCACCACTATCAACTACCATACGCCGACACCAACCATCTATGTCAACGTCGCAACCATCAATCCTTTAAAATAATAGATGTACATATAATAATGCATCGTTAGCTTAAATACTATATTCACAGTTTAATAAACCAATTAATTAACTAATATAGAGTTTTGTGCAACAATTATAAAAACTATACATTTTTATATATTTATGCTACAAAAAATACTAACAAAATACTTAATACAAACATTCATATTTTAACACAAAATTCATAAAAAAAAATTACAGCTTAATACAGCCAATTCACAATTTAATATATTTAATTCACAATTTAATACACAAATTCACAATGTAATAAAATGCATAATAATGCATTGTCATCTTAAATGGAATATTCGCAGTTTAATAAACCTATTAATTCACTAATTTAGAGTTTTAGGCAACAATACATTCTTACATATTTATGCCACAAAAAATAATGCTTACAAGAAAATAAATACAAACATTCATATTTTAACACAAAAATAATAAAAAAATCATAGCTTAATATAGCTAATTCACAGCTTAATACATTTAATTCACATTTTAATACACAAATTCACAATTTAATAAAATACAATCACATGTTAAAACTTACATCTGGTGATGTTTGGAGTCTTGGAGGATATATTAGATATCAGTTCAGAAACTCATCACAATCACACCTTAAAAACCTAAATTTACATTATTTTAGAAAACATGAATATAATAAAAACATATTCTAAATTCATATGAAAACTTATAAAAATTCATGCATTTACTGCTTAGAACTTATAAAAAGATCATTTTATCACAGCTAAAACTTATAAAAGATCATGTATTCACAACTTAATACTTATAAAAAATCATGCATTCACAACTAATCACTTTTAAAAAATCATGCATTCACACCATACTAACAGTGGATTCACAACTTAATATTTTATGCAAATATTATTAAAAATAAGAAAACAAACTTGGATTCATAACTTAATAATAGGGGATTTACAACATAATAACAACAAATTTACAACTTAATAGCAATTAAAAAATATTAACAGTATTAAACAATAGAAGAGGAATTGAAACATCAAATTCACAGTTTAACATAAGAAACAACAATCAAATCAAAAATTGACATACCTGATGCAAATATGGTGTTGTTTCACTATAGATCAGAGAGTAAAAGATGGATGTGAGTTGGCGGTGCTTCACCGAAGTAGCAAGGCAGCTATTGTCGTGGAGGTTGATGTCGATCTACGGTCTGATCCGTCAATCTCATCGGAGCTCATAGATCTGGAGGCATAAATCATAGATCCATAAGCGAAAATCATAAATCTGACGTCAGAGATCATAGATCTAACGTTTTAGATCGTATATCTGGACTAAACCACTTCAGATCTGATGAAAACAAAGGATTTTGGAGGTTGACAACATACATCGACAGTTGGTAGAGGAAGTGGTGAACAAGATCTGAACAGATCTGGTGGTCTTTCATGGAGTCCGGGAGAAAAAAAGATGGAGGCGAGATGAATATGTGTTACCGGAGCTCAAAGATCTAAACATCAGTGGTGGCGAAAATCATAGATCTCGTCGTTTCTCGGAGCTTGTAGATCTAGCATAGCGAGTCAGATGAGGAGGAGGAGCTAGTGGAGTAGATCTGATGTGGTGGTGGAACCATCATTGGACACCGAAAAATGAACCACAAACTCTAGATCTACACTTGAAATGCATCAAACACACAAGATCTGATGCAGATCTGGTGGTGTTTCACCAAAAACCAAAGAGAAAAAGATGGTGCAGGACGAAGACGGTGACGATGGCTAGAAGCAACGACGATCTACGGCGGCAGCGACGGCAGCGACGGCGGCACTGGTAAGTGGCGGAAATGGTGGTAGTTGGTGATGATAGATGGAGGGTTTGTGTTTAAACTCTTAAAGGTGAGTGAGAGTGTTTGGATGCAAGGAAAATGATCATATCTTATTTTGTAGTCTAGGTTTTCATTTTGATGTTAAGTTAAAAATTAGAGGTTCTTAGGGTTCTTAACCTTTAGAGCTTCTTATTTGATCTTTTACATCTCTCTCTCTCTCTCTCTCTCTGTGTGTGTGTGTGTGTATACATACATATATATATATATATATATATATATATATATATATATATGTATATAGAGAGAGAGAGAGATAGGTTCAAATGTTTCTAGCAACTATTGTGTGTATGAATGCACCAATAGGAATTTAGGAATAATTAAATAATTAAAAATTGTAATAAGGGTAATTATGTAACTTTAGCATGATAATTAAAATAAAATCCCTTAATTCATGGAAATCACCATAAAAATCTGTTTGACCAACTATTTAACCCTAACCTCTCATATCATACGTATTCTATTTCTGCCTCCTCCCATTTTCTTATTGACGCGTTTGATCAAAAGAGGTAGTCAAACCTCTTGCTGCAAATTTGTTTCCCCATTCCGTTGATTAAGAAGATGTTATTCTCGGCAGCTCCATCTCCAATCGAAGCTAGCTTTTATCTCCAATCAAAGGCCTGTATCGATTGGGAATCTTGTTGCTAGGTTAGCCGTTAATTTCCGATTCCAGTTTAGTTCAAACGACCACGCTAAACACCGACTCAGCCGCCGATCAAGAATCACAAGTCCCGACTGTTGTTAAAGATAACTTGGTAGCCATTGATGGTGAAGAAGATGATGGAGAAAAAGAGCTTCATGAGCTTTTGTTGCCTAACGTCAATGATCTCCCCCTCTCTCCTCCTTCTGCAATTGAATTCAATTTCGTCACTTACTTCGCTCCTGGTATGTAATTTCACCAACCAGTGCCTTTAATTTCATTCACGGTTCGTTCTCCTTCCGCCCTAGAAGTAACAACCTATGATTCTACAGAGTATAATCTAGTTTTATTTTCATATTCGAATTCAAGAGAAACTTTTGATACATATAATTATTACTATTAAATTTGAAGTTAAAAGTTAGCTAATTTAATCTGAATGCTCAAATGTGTGTATCAAATTTGTAGTTTTTTACTATAAAATGTCAACTATAGGTCAAGTTACTATTAGTATTATCCCTTTTCTAACATTGTTTTGGTTACATTCTTGTGTTTTGATAGATTTTATGAAGCCGGAGCATGATCAATATATATATATATATATATATATATATATATATATATATATATATATATCGCCATGCAAATGGGTATGAATCTTCAAAATAGATGATAAGATTTGAATTATTGATTCAGAAACTACAACCACCTGAAAGTTGTTTATACTTTATAACATTGGAAGTTTCCCTTTCTTGTTTTCTGAATAAAGGTTATGTGTTATTGGATTAGTTTCTGGTCATGTGGCCTTTAAGGATGAAGGAGGAGTCACTTATGTGGCTTTCAATGTTGGAAAATCCAACAGAAGTGAGATCAATGTCATAGGGAAGCGCAAAAGGGTACATCCGTCATTCAACCTTTTCTTAAACCTTTTTTCTAGATAAGATTTTTCTTAAATCTACTATTTTGGTTTCTTTTTTGCAGAATGCACAACATTTCGAGTCCAATACAGCCTTATGCAAAGTATGCACCGACAATGGTTTCTTTTGTTCGTTGGGTATATTCTTGATAATACAAATTCTTTAAGAATATTCAAAACCATTCTGCAAGAATAGTTTATTCTGTAAGAATATTATTGCTGTATTCTGATAGAATTGTAGTTAATTAGTTATATGTTTAATGTGCAGTTGTTACAAGTGTATCACTACAAAATATTTGGCAATGAATTTGTGATAGAAATGGCTTGAAGATTGGCTTGAAGACCTGATGGGAAAGGCTCCTTGTATAAAATCATTCTCATGCAATACAATTTTGACAGAATGCCAATCTCACAAAATGTCAATCTCATAGAATGCTAGCATATTTTGAAGTGGCTTAGAGGTCAAACATACACAAGACATCTAGAAACGAAACAAGAAAGTGAATGAAGATTCTTTCAAGAATGCCGATATTTTTTTTTGCAAGAGATTTCAAGAATGAATGTAGTTTATGTTCATAGTTGTATTCTTTAAGAATGAATGTAATTACTTATTCTAAACTATTAAACTTCGTCTTATATAAATTTTGTATTCATTAAAAATTATTGGTCTTGGTAATAAGTGTTTATAATATTATGTTCATAGTTGTATACCATTCTGATAGAATTATAGAATATCATTCTAACAAAATAACATTTTGATAGAATAAAATCGGTTTATGTTTACAAATTACGTTTGAAATTAAATTAATTTGAAAAAAAATTAGATTTTTTAAATCAAAATCATTAATTATCCCATAAATCTCGATTTTTCCTTTTTAAATTTGTCTCAATTGACTAAAATGCCCTTATGCTGAAATTTGTGTGATTATATGGTACATGTTACCCTATTGTACTATCATAGACCATTAGATCATGACCTTTGATTCTATTCCATCCGATGGTCCAGATATGTGCATTATGGCACACAATAGTTAGTAGAAACAAAATAACCTAAGCCTATATATATATATATATATATATATATATATATATATATATATATATATATATATATATATAGGGGAGACTCATGTGAAAATGCAAATAATTTGCGAAAACGCGAAAATAATGAAAACTTATGAGATTGTATCACCTCAACCTTATATTTTGGACAATAATTCATCCAAAATTTGAACTACATGATGATAATCGATGATACATGAGAAATTGTTTTATATTAGCAAAACACGTTTTTCGACCTTTTTATTATGAAAACTTTAATTTAAAAGTGGTTAAGGACGTGAAAAAAAATGAAAGAAACGGTTGTTAAAACCACATTTACATCTATATTACTATAACACCTCCAATGTAAACTTTTTATCTTACTAATAAATTTAATTTCTAAAGTACATGTGTTTGGTTTTTATAAGATAAAATATGTTTTTTGCATTTTCGTAATATATATATATATATATATATATATATATATATATATATATATATATATATATATTTTCCGTGATATATATTTCTTTTTTCTAAATGATTCTTGTTCTTGTAAAATATGATTTAAATTAATATTGTTCAACTTCTTTTGAATTATTTTTTTCATCTTTTTTAGAATTTTGTTTTTTCTCAAATCTTTTTTACAAAATTAGTTTTATTTAAACAATTATTTTTACAAAGATTTTTTATATCTTTGGTTTTAAGTATTTGTTTTGAAATTTTTATTTAATTTCATAAAGAATTAGATTGTAACATCCAAAAATTTCACGCCAAATTTAAACTTTTTCAATCACAAATAAAACCAGATAGTATTTGTTTACAAATATGTCTTCAATCATTATTCATCAGAGTGTCCCAATAACCAGATCATAAGGATGAGGAGCGGTACGTTCACGCCTTCGCCTTGCCATGATCTCCTGAAGTACCTGAAACAATAAACTGCAAACTGTAAGCCCGAGGGCCTAGTGAGCTACCCCCCCCCAAATACCAATACCACACCGATAATACCATATCAGTAACAGACAATCAACAACATGCATACTGGGCCATCGGCCTGACTGGACCACCCTGTAGGGCCTACAGTCTATCTAAATCTGTCCCTAGCCTTCAGCATAACTGGACCACCACGTGGGCCTACAGTCTCTCTGGACCGCTCATAGGGTATGTTGGCCTTCAGCACAAAGCAGGACCGCCTCAACCCAAGCAACAAGCAAATAACCATGTGCACATAACTAACATATACTGGCATATACAAGCATCAAACATATATATCTCACTGATCACCAATCATAACAATCTCTCGTAACTAGAGCACCGACCTAGCAGGTCACTAACATATCAATCCCTACGGATCATAAGAGCATAACATACTGTCTATCCTGATTTCGATCTAACAGGTCATAACCACATGTAGCATACCATAACAATAACAACTAAAGGGTCGGCCTTGGTGCCTTAGACCCTATCGATATAGTGAGGATAACTCACCTTGCAGAGAGAAACTTTTTGATACATATAATTATTACTATTAAATTTGAAGTTAAAAGTTAGCTAATTTAATCTGAATGCTCAAATGTGTGTATCAAATTTGTAGTTTTTTACTATAAAATGTCAACTATAGGTCAAGTTACTATTAGTATTATCCCTTTTCTAACATTGTTTTGGTTACATTCTTGTGTTTTGATAGATTTTATGAAGCCGGAGCATGATCAATATATATATATATATATATATATATATATATATATATATATATATATATATATATATATATATATCGCCATGCAAATGGGTATGAATCTTCAAAATAGATGATAAGATTTGAATTATTGATTCAGAAACTACAACCACCTGAAAGTTGTTTATACTTTATAACATTGGAAGTTTCCCTTTCTTGTTTTCTGAATAAAGGTTATGTGTTATTGGATTAGTTTCTGGTCATGTGGCCTTTAAGGATGAAGGAGGAGTCACTTATGTGGCTTTCAATGTTGGAAAATCCAACAGAAGTGAGATCAATGTCATAGGGAAGCGCAAAAGGGTACATCCGTCATTCAACCTTTTCTTAAACCTTTTTCTAGATAAGATTTTTCTTAAATCTACTATTTTGGTTTCTTTTTTGCAGAATGCACAACATTTCGAGTCCAATACAGCCTTATGCAAAGTATGCACCGACAATGGTTTCTTTTGTTCGTTGGGTATATTCTTGATAATACAAATTCTTTAAGAATATTCAAAACCATTCTGCAAGAATAGTTTATTCTGTAAGAATATTATTGCTGTATTCTGATAGAATTGTAGTTAATTAGTTATATGTTTAATGTGCAGTTGTTACAAGTGTATCACTACAAAATATTTGGCAATGAATTTGTGATAGAAATGGCTTGAAGATTGGCTTGAAGACCTGATGGGAAAGGCTCCTTGTATAAAATCATTCTCATGCAATACAATTTTGACAGAATGCCAATCTCATAAAATGTCAATCTCATAGAATGCTAGCATATTTTGAAGTGGCTTAGAGGTCAAACATACACAAGACATCTAGAAACGAAACAAGAAAGTGAATGAAGATTCTTTCAAGAATGCCGATATATTTTTTTTTGCAAGAGATTTCAAGAATGAATGTAGTTTATGTTCATAGTTGTATTCTTTAAGAATGAATGTAATTACTTATTCTAAACTATTAAACTTCGTCTTATATAAATTTTGTATTCATTAAAAATTATTGGTCTTGGTAATAAGTGTTTATAATATTATGTTCATAGTTGTATACCATTCTGATAGAATTATAGAATATCATTCTAACAAAATAACATTTTGATAGAATAAAATCGGTTTATGTTTACAAATTACGTTTGAAATTAAATTAATTTGAAAAAAAATTAGATTTTTTAAATCAAAATCATTAATTATCCCATAAATCTCGATTTTTCCTTTTTAAATTTGTCTCAATTGACTAAAATGCCCTTATGCTGAAATTTGTGTGATTATATGGTACATGTTACCCTATTGTACTATCATAGACCATTAGATCATGAACTTTGATTCTATTCCATCCGATGGTCCAGATATGTGCATTATGGCACACAATAGTTAGTAGAAACAAAATAACCTAAGCCTATATATATATATATATATATATATATATATATATATATATATATATATATATATATATATATATATATATATATATAGGGGAGACTCATGTGAAAATGCAAATAATTTGCGAAAACGCGAAAATAATGAAAACTTATGAGATTGTATCACCTCAACCTTATATTTTGGACAATAATTCATCCAAAATTTGAACTACATGATGATAATCGATGATACATGAGAAATTGTTTTATATTAGCAAAACACGTTTTTCGACCTTTTTATTATGAAAACTTGAATTTAAAAGTGGTTAAGGACGTGAAAAAAAATGAAAGAAACGGTTGTTAAAACCACATTTACATCTATATTACTATAACACCTCCAATGTAAACTTTTTATCTTACTAATAAATTTAATTTCTAAAGTACATGTGTTTGGTTTTTATAAGATAAAATATGTTTTTTGCATTTTCGTAATATATATATATATATATATATATATATATATATATATATTTTCGTGATATATATTTCTTTTTTCTAAATGATTCTTGTTCTTGTAAAATATGATTTAAATTAATATTGTTCAACTTCTTTTGAATTATTTTTTTCATCTTTTTTAGAATTTTGTTTTTTCTCAAATCTTTTTTACAAAATTAGTTTTATTTAAACAATTATTTTTACAAAGATTTTTTATATCTTTGGTTTTAAGTATTTGTTTTGAAATTTTTATTTAATTTCATAAAGAATTAGATTGTAACATCCAAAAATTTCACGCCAAATTTAAACTTTTTCAATCACAAATAAAACCAGATAGTATTTGTTTACAAATATGTCTTCAATCATTATTCATCAGAGTGTCCCAATAACCAGATCATAAGGATGAGGAGCGGTACGTTCACGCCTTCGCCTTGCCATGATCTCCTGAAGTACCTGAAACAATAAACTGCAAACTGTAAGCCCGATGGCCTAGTGAGCTACCCCCCCAAATACCAATACCACACCGATAATACCATATCAGTAACAGACAATCAACAACATGCATACTGGGCCATCGGCCTGACTGGACCACCCTGTAGGGCCTACAGTCTATCTAAATCTGTCCCTAGCCTTCAGCATAACTGGACCACCACGTGGGCCTACAGTCTCTCTGGACCGCTCATAGGGTATGTTGGCCTTCAGCACAAAGCAGGACCGCCTCAACCCAAGCAACAAGCAAATAACCATGTGCACATAACTAACATATACTGGCATATACAAGCATCAAACATATATATCTCACTGATCACCAATCATAACAATCTCTCGTAACTAGAGCACCGACCTAGCAGGTCACTAACATATCAATCCCTACGGATCATAAGAGCATAACATACTGTCTATCCTGATTTCGATCTAACAGGTCATAACCACATGTAGCATACCATAACAATAACAACTAAAGGGTCGGCCTTGGTGCCTTAGACCCTATCGATATAGTGAGGATAACTCACCTTGCAGATGTCGACTCGGTGGATAAACTTCAACCCTCAGATCACTGCCACAAACTCCACCACCAATTACCATAGTATAACCATACTGTAAGTTCTCAACCTCTCAAGGTACCCCATCAGTCAACTAGTCAACCTTTGGTCAAAGTCAAGGTCGTCAGTCAAGGTCAACAGTCCATGTTGACCCTAACTCGCCGAGTACCCTCAGCTACTCGCCGAGTTCCATGAAATACCTGTCCACTCGCCGAGTCACCGAAGTGACTCGTCTAGTTCTAAGGCTAGCGATTGGAACTCTAAGGCCACTCGTCGAGTTTTCCTTCTTGCGAATCGACGGTTGCACACGCATACATAAATTGGGGAAACCTCAACCGACTCGCCGAGTTGTTCATCCACTCGTCGAGTCTACGACAATCTTCATCGGACTCGCCGAGTTGTTCATCCAACTCGTCGAGTTCAATGCCTATCTTCATATGACTCGCCGAGTCGACTATGCGACTCGCCGAGTCTCTTCAGCCCTTTAACCATGCAGACACTTTCTAAGCCATGCCTAGGCCCCAAATTGCAGATCCAACTTCCTTAGGCATGCTTATCAAGTAAAGTTGCAAACTTTACGTGCATGCAAGGCTTTAAGACCCTAAAATGGCACAACTAAGCTTGCAATGAAGTCACATCCTTGAGAGAAGGCTCATACTAGACAAGGCTGATGGCTTTATGAATCTAGAAGCCAAGGGGAGTCCAGATCTGAAGTTACAACTTCAGATCTTGGCTTAGACACAAGAATCCTTTCATAAACTTATGCACAAAAGGGTTTAGGAGAAAATGAGCCAAGGGAAAAACGATTTAATACCTTCAAGAGAGCCCTTTCTGATGCAGAACTTGAAACCCACAACTTGCTTCAACTAGCTTGCTTCCCAAGAGATTCCCTCACCAAAAATCTTCCTCCAAGCTAAAATTTCCAAAGAATACACACACACTCGAGTTAGGGTTCTTCTGGACTTTCAATGGACTGCAAAGAGGCCAAAGGAGGCTTATGCTTCTTTAAATAGGGTGCAAAACCCCGAGATTTAGGGTTTCATCTGCCAGCTCCTGCTCGTCGAGTCCCTTCTTGGACTCGGCGAGTAGGCCACTAAATACGCAAACCAACCCGCTGCTACTTGACGAGTAGGGCAACCAACTCGTCGAGTAGGTCTTGAAACCAATTAAATTTTTATTTAAACAATACCTGAGAATCAGGGCGTTACATAGATTATCTTATTCTTTACTTTTTACATGTTCGTTATAATGTAAACTCAATCAAACTTTCAATTTTTTTTTCTAATCTTGTCTAAACCTTTTTTCTAAAAAAAAAAAAAATCCCAACTTTGGGTTGCAAGTAAAATATAGTCTTCTTAATGTTCATTTATTTATTAAATAAACAAATTTCTTATCGAACAGTTTAAAAACGATTTTTTAAACGTTGGTCATGTACAACATTAAGTCGAATGGTTCACAAGATTTAATAAAAACCTAGATTTTCCACAAAACAAATGCCAAAAATGAAAATTGAATCAAAAGTAGGATGTACATATTTCGCAAATACATGAATGCCCCGAACCTATATTTGTAAGAGAAAATACCTAAGTTAAAGGTTTGGTTTACAGATAACCATAACATGATTTTTTTAACAGGTTGACAAATAACATTCGGGATTTTAGCATTACAAAATCCATGAATTGCAAAAGCTCTCCATCGATCAAGACCGTGGTTTTATCATTTCGCCAAACCATAAGTAGCTAGTCTAATATCGTTGCTTTGGTGAAATATATTTTCTTTTATTCTATAGAAAATCTCTTTATAACTCTATATCAAATGTAACAGTTTTTAACTCTCCTAATTTGTTAAAATCATATGCCTAAATTTTGAAAGAAGAACCTGAAAAAAAGTGCTTAATGAATTGTGAAATTTCCATATTTTGTTTGCGAAACGCTACAATCGAGATTTTCAAGTGAGAATGTTTTGGGTGGTTTTTGCATAATGATGGCTGGAATATATTACATATATGATATTTTAAACAGTAAGGTCCACCTGAATGATGTTTCTTAATTCTCAAATCGCAAAGACCATTTTAGGGTTTCATCTGCCAGCTCCTGCTTGTCGAGTCCCTTCTTGGACTCGGCGAGTAGGCCACTAAATACGCGAACCAACCCGCTGCTACTCGACGAGTAGGGAAACTAACTCGTCGAGTGGGCCTTGAAACCAATTAAATTCTTATTTAAACAATACCTGAGAATCGGGGCGTTACAATTCTCCCCCACTTGAACTAGACTTCGCCCTCGAAGTCTGCTTGAATAAACAACGCCGGGTAATGCTCTCGCATTTCCGCCTCCGGCTCCCATGTCCACTCGGATCCCCTCCGATGCTCCCACTGCACTTTTGCCAAAGGTATTTCTTTGTTCCGCAAAATCTTCTTCTTCCTTTCCAGGATGGCCACAGGCCTCTCTACGTAATTCAGGCGCTCATCGACCTGAATATCATCCAGCGATACTACTGCCTCCTGATCCATAATACACTTTCGCAATTGCGAAACATGGAACGTGCTATGAATTCGGCTGAGCTCCTCCGATAGCTCTAGCCTATAAGCCACTTTGCCCACCCTGGCAATGATCCTGAATGGCCCAATATAAGGGGGACCCAATTTTCCCCTCTTCTTGAAGCGGATCACACCCTTCCAGGGCGAGACCTTCAGAAGTACCATGTCACCAACCTGAAACTCTAAATCCGATCGGCGTCTATCAACTCAACTCTTTTGCCGGCTCTGAGC